CCCGTGTTCAGGAAGTGGTGTGGGAAGCTATCAACGCCTACGAGACAGGACTTGGCGCTGAGAGCGGTCTTTTCACCATCCAGTGTTGCCGGGGGCTCACCATCGACCTCCTCAACAAGCTGGCCTCTGACCTCGAGTTTGAGTTCACGCTCTACATCGTGCAGGATGAGACGTACGGCCAGAAGTCCAGCGACGGAACCTGGTCGGGGATCATGCGTGACCTCATCGACAACACCGCCCACTTCGCAGTCGCTGCATTTTCCATCACGAGTCAAAGAGCGACCGCGATCGAGTTCACCGACCCTTATTTCTTCTCGGGTTTTTCCATTATTTATTCCGACCGGACCCGAGAGACGAGCATACGCGCGTTCATGGAGCCTTTTTCCATCGAGGTCTGGTTCGCCATTCTGGTTTCCGCGCACATTACAGCGGTGTTCATGGCGGTTTTCGAGTGGAACTCTCCCTTTGGGTTAAACCCTTGGGGTCGAAAAAGGAACAAGAATTATTCACTTGCCTCCGGGCTGACAATGGTGTTCTCCGTACTGTTTGGACACACCGTGAAGACGAAATCGCCGAAAGCTTGGCCATCGAAAGTGATGCAGAACTTTTGGGCGTTCGCCGCTATCTTCATCATAGCGAGCTATACCGCTAACCTTGCTGCCTTCATAGCCGGTAAACACGCCGGAATAAACTACATCGATATTCAGGACCCACGGGTAAGAGCTCAGTTGCTGCACAATGATTAAAAAAATAAAAATAAAATAAAAGTGGGTGGTTGGCGGGTGCTCTGATGTGATTTGTTTCTTTTTTTCTGTCATACATCTATCGTCCTTATCCCCCCCTTCTTCTTTTTTTAAAATGTTTGTTACTCTCTTGTAACACCTCTAATCTTCTGGCGCTCATATGACCTTATGCAGTTGCGAGCGCTGTAAAACCTCTTCAAAACTAGACTAAAAATAAAATAGTATGCTAGGCTAGTGTTTGGCGTTTGCAACTTGCAGCTGACTCCATGTATATCTATTATGGTAAACTACACGTAAGCTCACTCTCTAGAAAGAAAAAACAAAAGCAAAAAACACCCAACGTTTTCCACAATCCGCATGCAGTAATAATCTTACATTCGCACGCACGCACGAACGCACGCACGCACGCACG